CCACCATGCCCAGCTAATGTTTTGTATTTTTAGTAGAGACGGGGTTTCACCATGTTGACCAGGATGGTCTCGATCTCTTGACCTCGTGATCCACCCGCCTCAGCCTCCCAAAGTTCTGGGATGACAGGCTTGAGCCACCGCGCCCGGCTTGTGGGGTTTTTTTTGTGGGGGAGGGATGGTGGAGATGGGATCTTGCTGTATTGCTCGGACTGGTCTCAAACTCCTGGCCTTAAGTGATCCCCTTGCCTTGACCTCCGTATTTTTATTGTTTTTAGAGGCAGGATCTTGCTGTTTCCAGGCTGGAGTGCAGTGGCACAATCATAGCTGACTACAGACTCAAACTCCTGGCCTCAATGAACAATCCTCCCACCTCAGCCTTCTAAAATGCCTGTATTACGAGTGTGAGCCACCGTGCCTGGCCAGACTTTTAACTTTTTTTTTTTAAAAAAGTGAACTTGGCTACGTGTGGTGTCTCACACATGTAATCCCAGTACTTAGGGAGGCCAAGGTGGGCAGATCACATGAGATCAGGAGGTTGAGACCAGCCTGGCTAGCATGGTGGTTCGTGCCTTAGTCCCAGATACTTTGGAGGCTGAGGCAGGAGAATCGCTTGAAACTGGGAGGTGGGGTTTGCAGTGAGTCGAGATCACGCCATGCCTGGGCGACAGAGTGAGACTCCGTCTCAAAAAAATAAATAAAAATAAAAAGGTAAACCTGGGGTAAGAGAGGAACTCTCTAGTGGGATATTCCCCAGCACACCTAAGGAGTTCTACTGTCATGTGAGCCCCCTGATGAACCATAGTGGTAACTCATAAGCTAAAATTTACTTTAAAACTTTAAAAAATGATTTGTGAAGTTAATCATTCTGTACCTAAAAACAATTCAGGTTCAGTCTGAATCCGAATACATTATTTTGAATAATTTCTTGACCAAGGAGAATTGTTTATTCCTTATTTATTTATTTATGATGGAATTTTGCTCTTCTTGTCCCCGCTGGAGTGCAATGGTGTGATCTCAGCTCACTGCAACCTCCGCCTCCCAGGTTCAAGCGATTTTCCTGCCTTAGACTCCCAAGTAGCTGGGATTACAGAGATGCACCACAATGTGCCGCTAATTTTCTGTTTTTAGTAGAGACGGGTTTCTCCATGTTGGTCAGGCAAAAATCTGGTAAAAGTTGTGAACCCACTTCTTTATAAATGCATGTATAGGTAAAATTTTACACATAAGGAAGTTTTTGAATTCATGAAATGTCAGTGGGCCATAGATAGTCCATTCTCATATTTCTCTCGAAACAAGAGAGGAGAAATGACTTGTCAAAGGTCATACGTTAGGTGTTTATAGTCATTTTGATTTTGAGATTATACTTGAAGCAATCCCCCTTTGTGTATACAACTGTGGTGTATTGCTTTGTGTTTTTTTGTGGGGGGTGGGGTGGGTAAGGAATGGAGTTTCACTCTTGTCGCCCAGGCTGGAGTGCAATGTGTGATCTTGGCTCACCGCAGCCACCTGGGTTCAAGTGATTCTCCTGACTCAGCCTCCTGAGTAGCTGGGATTACAAGCACACACCGCCACACCCTGCTAATTTTTGCATTTTTTGGTAGAAATGGGGTTTCACCATGTTAGCCAGGCTGCTCTTGAACTCCTGACCTCAGGTGATCCACCCACCTCAACCTCCCAAAGTGCTGGGATTACAGGAGTGAGCCACAACACCTCACCTGCTTTGTGTTCTTTATTTTTACTTAGTTGCCTTCACACAAGTAATCTTAGTAAAGTACATACAAGTAATTAAAGCTGTGATCTTAAACACAAATGTATTAATCCATGGTAAACTACTCTTTGGGAAATCAAAGTTGCTATAATAGGACTGTTCAGATTCTTAAAAAATTAAATACATAAGACACTATATACAATGAAGAGGCTTAATTTTTTTTTAAGTTTTGTAGAGATAGGGTCTCACTATGTTGCCCAGGGTGTTCTTGAACACCTGGCCTCAAGTGATCCTCTCCCTCGGCCTCTCAAAGTGCTGGGGATAACAGGGATGAAACATTGCATCTGGCCCAGTTAAGAGCCTTTTAGTTACTTAGTTTTAAAAGTTTTTTCAGACAGAATTTCACTTTGTTGCCCAGGCTAGAGTGCGGTGGCGCGATCATGGCTCACTGCAGCCTTAACCTCCTGGGCTCAGGGAATCCTCCCACCTCGGCCCACTGAGTAGCTGGGAGTACAGGCATGGGCCACCATGTCCAGCTAGTTTTTGCTACTTGGGTACAGATGACGTCTCCTTATGTTGAGGCTTTTAATAACATGTTGAATATTTGCATGTCTGTTTTATGGGGCATGAATGTGCCTCCACTGCTGGCATCCTGCTGTGTACTCTTTGATGGATAGGAGCTAGGCAGTGCTGTTTTCTTTGGAGCTCTTTTTTGTGAGTTGGAGTTTTGCTCTTGTCACCCAGGCTGGAGTGCAATGGCGTGATCTCAGTTCACTGCAACCTCTGCATCCCAGGTTCAAGTTATACTCCTGCTTCAGCCTCCCAGGTAGCTGGGCTTATAGGCACCTGCCATCATGCCCAGCTACTTTTTGTATTTTTAGTAGAGACAGGGTTTCACCATGTTGGCCAGGCTGGTCTCCAACTCCTGACCTCAGGTGATTCACCTGCCTCAGCCTCCCAAAGTGCTGAAATTACAGGCATGAGTCACCATGCCTGCCGGCCTGGAACTCTTTTTGATGATTGGTTAACTTAACAGTGTTTTATAATCAAGGATCTCATAGTTATCAGCATAAAGATTTCTAGTTTCCACCATTTTGTTTCCCTGTGGCAGGTTTTTTTTTTTTTCCCCTTAATAGTGGTTTAAAATTTATTCAGCAGGCAAGGCAGAAATGTCTCAGATGGAAGAATGTTTTCCTGAAATGTTGTGTGAGAAATGTTGCAGTGGATGCTGAGTTATGGTCTGAATTTATTTTTATCTTTCTTTCGAATATGTTTTCTCTAAAGTAGGCAAAAGCTATAATTTTGCTTCCATAAGCAGTGTGGTATTAATCTCATACTATGAAACATTTTAGGTTGAAACTACAGACTCAGAATTTCAGAAACGGAGGGAACCTTAGAAATCATTTAGTTCAAATTCTTTACTCCTCACATTTAAGATATTTCAGGTACCCTTAATGAGAGTTCTGGTAGGTGGGATAAACGAGAACATCTAGGTCAATCTGTCTGTTCTCAGTCTCTCTTCTGTCTTCCTTTTTTGTTTGTTTGTGGATAGAGATGGGGTCTTGCCATGTTGCCCAGGCTGGTCTCAAACTCCTGGGCTCAAGTAATCCACACACCTAGGCCTCCCAAAGTCCTGAGATTACAGGTCTACCATGCTCAGCCACTCTTGTCTAAAAGGGGATAGCATTTATAGTTTTTGTATCCTACACTTCAGTGCAGTAGTCATGTACTGTCTGCCTTTATTATTAATATCTCATGTTAATCTCATCTAGGAACTAGATCGGAGGTCAGTGATAGTATGGTTTTCGTTTGTGCTGTAGCCCCTATGATACTGAATAAATATATAACCAGGCTGAATGTGGTGACTCACGCCAGTAATCCCAGCCCTTTGGTAAGCCGAGTGAGGTAGGGATCACTTGAGCCTAGTAGTTGGAGACCCGCCTGGGCAACATGGTGAAGCCCCATCTCTATAAGGGGGGGAAATGTACATAGACGATGTGTGCTAAGTACTTCACTAAGAGCTGAAGAATAGAATCATTTGAGCTGTCAGCCATGCATTTCTTATTGTTGGAAAAGTTCACTCTGGTCAGCAGTTAAGCTTTTCACATACTTCACATTGAAGTGAATCTGAATGAATTGTTCTAAGTAAAATAATTTTTGGAGTACAAATATTTGGCTTCTGATTATATAAGCCATCATCCTGAGACATA